TGTAAAATGGTGGGCCACTAAAGAGAGTCAAAAGCTCCCTGGATGTCAACCATTAATGCCGCAACATATTTTTCATTTGCATTTCTTGTTGTGGTGACTAGCTCGCAGATCGCATCATTTGTGCTTCTGCCCTCTCTGAATCCAAACTGCCTATTACTTAGCAAATTGTGTCCTTCGATATAATCTGTGAGCCTCTTTGCAATCATCCTCTCAAAGATCTTTCCACCCCCACAGGCAGGAGGCTAATTGGTCTATAGGAGTTAGGCAATGCCCAATCCCTTTGTCCGGCCTTTTTGATGATCTTGATTTTGCCTGCTTTCCAGACTTTGGGAAAAATGGCTGAGAGCCAGCACCTATTGTAGACATGTAAGAGATGTAGCTTGTTTTCCTGGCTGAGCTCTTTATATACTTCGGCAGGTATCTTATCATGGCCTGGTGCCCTTTTGTTCTTTGCCTTAGCCAAAGCCAAGTCAAGTTCTGAGATTCTAAAAGGTGGCTCAGTTGAGGTTGATGTAATTGTCTCGTTGACGAAGGCTTCCCTCAATCTTTGCTGTTCATGATTTCGTGTTCCCCAGAGTCCATAGGGACAAGCCTGTCCAGCAACAGGGTGATTGTCTCTATATTTGTTTGAGTATATTCTGCTCCTATTTTGAGCGTGGTGAGGATTTCCTTATTTCTGATCTTGTTTGCACTCATTTTATAGGCAATGCTATAGGGATCCTCATTGATGGAGTCCCTGACAAACTGTTCCCAGCTGTCCTTCTTGGCTCTTCGTATCTCAGATTTGTATCTGTTTTCAGCTCTGCGAAAAGCAGCGTACTTCACAAGCTTTATTCTGCACTCGCAGCATCTTTGGAAAGCTCTTCTTAAATAGGCTTCTCTTCTAAGTGTGGTCAGTTGATTAGTCCACCAAGGTACAACCTTGGAACCCGTCCTTCGTAACGGAATGGAGCCATTGCAGGCTCTTGCGATTGCATCATTAGACTGTCTAGCAAGCTCATCAGGATCTTCTGAATTGCAGTTGGCCAATTGCGGCCGAAGCATGAGATTCAGGTGTCCATAGTCTGCCTTACGCATGTTGTAGTTGCACTCTCTAATTTGAGTCTTGGTGAATTTGAGTTCTATTTCAAAAGTAATCAGCCTGTGATCACTAATGCTTTTGTTCTCATGAACTGTCCAATTTGAAATCCTTTCGTATAGGTTTCTTGACGTAAGAGTAAGATCAATGTTGGTTCCAGTTTTACGGGTTGAATGTTGTCCAGCTGAGTTTGCAATGTAAAGATTGTTATTTGTTATGAAGTCATTCATGAGGGCTCCCTTTGGGTCCTCTTCAGATGAATGCCAGGCTGGAGAGTGGGCGTTAGCATCAACGCAGACCAGGATCATATTGTTTCGTTCCTTGTTTAGGATAACTTGTAGATGGTCAATGTAGGGCTCAATTTCCTCTTGGAATTGGAAGTATGCAGAAACAATGACCAGAGGTCCTATTGTGGTGTTGATCTTAATGACTACAAAGTGGTCATTGCAGTATTCAGCCATCTTTAAAGGCTCATAAGCTGTCTTGCAAATAATTGCAGCATAGTGCCTTTGTCCCTGAGGGGCACCTCCAATAACTAGGTTTGAGCTAGATAATCCAAAACCTTTTACTTCGCCTCTATAACAATAGGGCTCTTGGGTTAGCAAATAATCAATGTCCATTTCGTTAATAAGTTGCCTTGCTTCATGGGAAGCGTTTGTTGAATTTTGAAGGTTCAACTGTCCAATAAAAATGGAGTTCGGTGTTCTGTTGGGAGGATGGTTCCTGGTCAGATCTGATTGAAAATTAATCATATTCTGTCTGATTTTTAACACGTTCTACTTCCTTTTTGTAGCATGGGCAGTTGGTCGAATTAACACTGTGTGCTGCATTCAGTTTGCTCTTTAAACAGTTGGAACATTTAAAATTCCAGTTATTCTCTGGACAGTTTTTAAAAGTGTGTCCTTTTGAGCAATGCCCACAGGTGTCGGTTGTGGCCTTGCATGCGGCTGCCAGGTGCCCGTACTTTTGGCACTTAAAGCACCTCGTGACTATGTGATAATCTATTAGTTTGCATGACCTCCATCCCATGAACACCCTACTTCCATTTGCTAAAACTTGCTTGCGAATTTCCTTATCAATCTCTAGAACCCATTGTTCAGTTGATTGACCTTTTGGGCCAGTCTTGAAAATTAACTTGACCTTGGCCGCAAAAACTTGTTCTTCTAGATCCGGGAAGTTTTGGGTTCTAATTTTTTCAAATAGTTCCTTAGGATCAGATTCGGCTGGTATATCGAACAATTTCATTTTGGGCCTTCTCTTGGCCGGTTCTCAGGATTCCAATGCGTTACCAAGTTTGTCTTTTAGGAGATCAAGCTGTTCCTTCTGGATCTCAATCGCAACTCCTCCGTTTCTTATTTTAGAAACTCTTTTGATCTTGAGTCCTTGCTGTTCGGGGTTGAGGTTTTTCTTGACCTCAGCTTTGGTTTCTTCTGAGGTTAGGGTACCCTCTTTGGGGTAAACTAGTAGAACCCTAGTTTGGTCTTGAATAACCTTAGGTTTGGAAGAGGCAGAGGACAGAGCCCCAGCATAGCTTTGAGGTCGGGATTGGTAGTTCACCTTCTGATTCAGTGGGCCATTGATGGCATCCACAACTCTCCTTGTCACCTCGGTTGTTATTTCATTGGTAAGCTTGGCGAAGTCGATTTGCCTCTCTTGTTCATTTGTGTTTGACTTCTTTGATTGCTTTGCCAATTCACAGTATCTTCCGCGAAGTTCCAAGAACTCCCTGTGTAGTTTCTCCCCTAAAGTTAATAGGGACATTATTATTATTGTTGTCATGAGAGCCGAAGCCCCCTGACTGCATACCCGGTACCTATCCTTTAGGACATACCCGGGCCCCATGATGTAGGCCGAAGCTTACGCATCAACCTTTAGCACATCATGGGCGGATGACTTAAGGTCATCAGGCTCGCCGGCTGCCGAAGCAGACCCTTCGGAAGGAGGGTTGCCCCTCAATCCTAACCAGGGATTCCGGCTGCTTGTTTAAGCGTCACTCCACCTGGGTTCCACTAGGTCGGGACCTAGAGGTCCATGGTAGAGCGCCCCGACGCATTTAGTGCAAGCAACACTCGGGACCTATCTAATCCCTGGCAGGCAGAACCCGCCATCGATAGCCAGGAGGAAGGGGACCATCAGCACGCTGACGGGGGGAACCCCAACCTCCCATTTACACCGCTGCCCGATCGAGGCCTTACCCATTGCTGGGAAACCAGAGATAACCAGAGCGATAGATCCCCAGATACCCCTGGCGGGCTCGGACCCAGCACCCGATCTACTTCGTTTGCCCGTCAGACCCAACATCACTGCCAGGCCATCAGGGTTTCCCAAAAGGAGGCAGGTATAGAAGTGGGACCCACCCGGATGAACCTATCCACCAGAGGTGGCGACACCCTTAACTCAATTGAGGTTCCGGGAAGAACCCCCCACACTCAAGATAACCATACCGTCCGTGCTCAGAGACAGGGATTGGTTTGCATAAGTACCTACAAACCGTTGCCCTCACACTGCGGAAAGTTACGTTGCCCTTGAGTGTCCCCGTGAGCTGCGGGTACTTGCCCGTTTTCACCTCCAGGAAAGGTTACTTCCAAAGTCGAGGATTTGCCCACTGAATGCTGGTCGCACACAACAAGCAGGCCGAAGCCCAAAGAACCACAGACACAGGTAGGTTAGAGATTATGATGTACTTCCATCTCTCCTAGAGCTAAACACCCCTCCATCCTGGATAAAGGAATGTCACTGGGACCCAATGCCCAGTCGTCCATGTCTGTGGCCAACTTGAAAATGCCGATACCAACACGGAGCATTTACCTCCCCTCTGGGGGCTAGGTATTTCACCTCCCAGGACGAGGCTACTTCCAAAGTCGAGGATATGCCTCACAAAATGTCAGTCGAACACAACAGGTAGGACAGTGTCACAACCACAGTTACAGGTAGATGAGGAGAGGCGGAATTAACGGCGTCACTGAGAGCTAAACACCCCCCCCACCCTGAATGGAGGGAATGTCACTGGAGGCTCCCCCTAAGGGGCTGGCGCTTACCAGTCGTCCATAACTGTGGTCTACCTGAAGTGCCGGGTCTGACACCGGGCAGTTACCTCCCCTCTGGGAGAGCTAGGGTCCGCGTGGTCGCCCAGGCCACGAACCCACGCAAGCGTGAGCCCCCTGCGGTTAGTTAATAGGGACAGTCGATGGGGTATTACCCTAGTACTACCTTGCTCTGGCCTCAAGCCTCCTCGGCTCATTTCGCCAGTCTCACCCCTTTCTCACTTTCCTTCCTCTGTCCCTCTCCTTTTCAAACAACTGTGCCTATCCATTTTCTTTCTCTCCTCTTACTCTCTCCTTCATCCTTCTCACATTCTGTGTGTCTACTATCTAGCCTTGATGAAACCACTGCCCCCGCGTATCCAAGCCTCTGTTGGAGGGGCACTCTAGGTGGAGGTGTTGAGTCCTAGAGTGGGGCTTCCCCTCCCCCGCGGTAACGATTATTTAAAGACCCCGCTATGGTCTCTCCCACCTCCTCTTGCCTTGCCCATTGGCTCTCTCCCTTCAATCTCTACTTCTGGCCATTCATCCATTTTCTGACACTTTTCCTATCATTCTAAGTTCAGAGACGCAAAATATCGCCTCTCTGCTCTCTTATATGTCTCACATCTCGGATACGTAACCCTGTGGTCTGACCTCCTTCCTTCTTTATGGCAGTTTACACACTTTTTATCCTCAGCATTTGCGTTACACTCCTCCCACTTGTGGATTCCAGCACAAAACCCACATGTCTGTCTCCCCGTGCAGTTTTTCCCAATGTGCCCGAAGGCGTTACACTTAAAGCATCGCACCACGTCTACATACTGTCTTACCTTGCATCTGCTCCACCCCAAGTATATCCTTTCTTTCTTTATCCAGTAGTTCATCACTACAGGTGGGACTTACATTATCCAGTTTTCGCCTTTATTCCTCTCTTCTCTATTTCCATCTTTTCCTTTCTGTATCATTTTTCTTCTGACTTTGACTGCTCTGAGGAACTCATCCTCCTTCATGCCTATTTCCATGACATTTCTCTCCCACATCTCCTTCATCACTTCATCTTCCTTACTCCCTGCATCTACATCATAAATTAATACCATCGGGTTTTTCTTTGTTCCCTCCTTCATTTCGTATCCTTCTTCGATTAACTTCTGATTTCCTTTCAGTTTTTCAGCTTCCTCTCTACTGTTAACCTCCAGTATTACACCCCTTCTTGTCTTGATTATTTTGTCTATATTCACTCCTATATCCTTTGGTTTGTTCCTCATGAACCTTGCTTTTACTTCTTCTGGGTCACACCCCTCCATTGTTAATATAATCTCTGTTCTTACTTTCCCTTTTGGAATTGTTCCATCTGCTCTCTGTTCCTTTTCTCCTTTTCCACTTGCCGCTTCCGCATAACTTTGTACTCCATCCCCGCCTTCCTTCACCACCTTGTCCCTCATACCTACAACCCTTACTACCTCCTCAACTACTTTCTTTCTTTCCTTCAATCTCCCCCTCATTTCTGCTTGTTCTATTTCGATATTTCTCAGGCTTTTCTCCACTTCTCTTGCCAATACCATTTGTCTCTCACAGTTCGACTTCGATATTTTCTTTTTTAATACCATGTCTTCCATGTTCTTAACCAACTGCTCCATCATGAACCTTATCCTTTCAAACTCATCCTCAACCTCTACATCTGGTTCCGTTTCACTTTCCTCGCTCTCCTTACCCACGTTTTTCCTTTTAGCCTCCAGATTCTCCTTTGGGCTATTCGCCTTTCTCTTGGTCCTCTGTCTCACATCTCCTGCAATGTTGCTGTCAGTCTCACTCTCCTCTGTGGTTGTGAAAAAACGTTTTTGCATGTAGGCTCGTATATCTACCCGGAGGAGATTTTTCCACACTTTTCTTTCTCTTATGATCTTCAATCAACTCCTTCTCAAATCTCTCTCTCTCCAATCTCTCCCTCATCTGCTCTTCACTCTCCCCTTCATCATTTCCCTCTTCTGCATTTTTCACTCCCTCGTCCTTTTTTGCTAAGCTTTCATGAGTGACGCGAGTATTGCCCTCCCTGGCATCCGAATGAGAGCTTGGGCCATTGGCCCCACCAGGATTTTTTTTCATATTCACGCCTTTCATGGTTGCTGTCGCGGTGGCACCTTTGGTGGGGCTGCCACCTTAAGGGTGAAGGGCCACACCCCTTAGAATAAAGAATAGTAAGTTAGGAAAAGGAACCCTTCCCCTCGAATCCTCTAATAGGTCGGGCCCTGAAGAAACAAGAATGCGACCAGATCACTTGAGGTTACCGAGCTAACCACTGGTTGAACCAGCCGTTCACCCGGCCCCCAAGCTTAGATCAGGAAAGAAAGAAAGATTTGGGAACCCGTAGTCGAAAGAAAGGTGACTATGAGCCCCGAAGAGGGAAGAAAGCCATGCCCGAGTTAGTAGTGTTACCACTGAAGAAAGGCATGACCCAGCTAGGGTACCGCGTGATCGCCAACCACGTACTCACAAGCGTGAGCCCCTGCGGGTAGTTAATAGGGACAGAGAGAATGTCGTTAAACCATTAGCGCTGTTCACTAACCTAAATAAATATGCATTTATGAACATAAGAGAGTCATAGTTACTCCCGCCATTTACCCGCGCTATGTAAAATAATGCTTTTTATTATGAATGGACAAAAAGATATACAGTATGTAGTTATTAAATCGTTTGAAAATTAAATAGGGACGTTGATTTCTTGCTCACGCCGGCAGGCGGCAATGACGCCTGAGAGGCCGCAAGCTTATTCCAGACGGCACCCCCGGAGGGATGCACCGCTTCGGGCGAATGCAGAATTGGGCTGAAATATTATCAAGATGATAGCTTACATTCCCGATAAACCTTTATGCCTTATCAAAAAATTCCATTCGGGATTGGCTCTGGGGTTTTTCATGTTAACCTTATGAGTATTCATCTGAATTAACAGCTGTTCAAACTAAACACGTACATTCGACGATGTTCAATAGTACAACAGGGTGCAGAACTATTAACTTTTTTTATGAAAACATCTAATTTGAACTAAGGAGCAAAAAAAAAGCTGTGATACACTATGAGAACTGTCAAAGTAGGATTGTTTACACTTATCTTATGTTAATTTAATAAACGATTTGAGAAATTCGCACAATAGGGTGTACTTATGTTTCAGTGCATAATTCATCAACTTATTAACTGTCTTTTCTTTTATATGTTTATAAAAGGCATTATAGGTGTATGTTTGTTTTACCCAAAAAATAATATCTGTGTTAACTGTAGCTGGTTAATACTTTGAGTACCATTACTGATCAAGTCAATGACATGGATGAAAGGAATTAATAATAATATATATGTGAAAGTTAGGAAAGTGTCATAAACATAAAAACTACTCGACCAATTGAGCAGATTATTTAATGAATTAGAGCTAATAAACCACGGGCTAAATTGGCATAGTTTATTATTTTTTTTACAATCCTAGGGCTCTGTGCCCTGCCCTGATGGCTTGCGAAGTTTCTATGTTATTCTTATAATTACTTTTAATATTAGAATGGCCAGATTTATATAATCCACACGTTCAAAAATTATTCTGTTGGCGCTTTATTAAAATTTTATAAATTTATTCATGAGTTAATAAGTCTTCAGATCGCAAAACTATTGAACCTAATTATTATCTTGCTAGAAATAATTATTGAATGATTGGTAATACATTTAAGTGTTCTTAGCAAATGTTATTAGCCCATTTGGGGATTCATATTTCATAAATCGTTTATGTACCATTCAATCTGATGTTCTGTATTGAAATAATAAAGAATTCATTCATTCATTCATTCTCTTCATGTTGAAAAGGACGGGTATGGTGGCTAGTATTAAATAATTTAATTCACTAACTTTTCACAAGAAAAGAAAATAAGGCGCTAAAATAAATGTTTTAGGCGTGTACAAAAAATACAACTGAGATATTACAACAAATTCAACTGATATATTAAAACATATATTGTATTCTTATATAAATTTAAAGACATTTTACAACTGTTATACATTTTCTTATATATATCTTACTAATTACATTAAAGTTAATAATGTAATATGTAAAACCATATAAAAAACATATAGAGCAAAGGATAATGTCTTAAATATTATAAATTCAATAGACCAAAAATATCACACACAACTTTAAGATTATCAAAATTTCATAAAGCTGCAATTAAAATTACATACATGGGGACATGACTGTCTGTTGATTACATATTTCTGGCGCTTCCCACGTATGTTTCCTCTGCCAATTGGTGGAACTTAAAACCAGACAAGTTTTGCTTTAGAAACTTTGATTATCATCAGGGAACTAGGAAAAGGGAAATATACTTCCTACACATACTTAAATATTTATACAATATAAAATTTCACAAGAATGAAATCTAACTACCCGAACATCGAGTGAAACCCAAACGAAAATCTAAAAATAGAACACAATTTATCAGTAATTGAATTTTAAGATTTAAAAAATTGATATGATCGGCATTTAAAATTGCCATCTACAGATTGCATTATAAAATATTATAAAGGTCAAACAAGTAAAAAGATTAATATCGATTGTAAAACATATACAGGCATTGAGATATAAAATGTATTTATACAATTTATACATAGTAGTCCCGTTGTATTAATTGGAGAGCCAACAGTTTTGCAACATGTTGCTTGACTAATACCGTTGAAAGTATTGTTTGCCTAGCCGTAAGTTTGGGGTCATTCAGGTCACAATCAAGGAAGACAGATCAAAGGAAAGTAACATATCAAACTTGACAATGGTCAAGCCAAACATCAGCTTGTTAGGTGGTCCCTGTTCTCACGAAACATAACAGTACTGAAAGTTCCGTTACCTACTTCAAGCATGCATTTTTGAGTACGCAGTGTAATTACTAGTTATTTTAGGTTGTCGAGAGAGAAAATATCTTGAAACCTGTTCAAAGATACGACGCATGGAGCTATGCACAAGCCATGTTTTGTGTGCAAGCTCTGGTAATAACGGGTGCGATCTGATGGAAATTTCCTAAGCAGATAAGTTACTATAGGGTCTTGAATTCATGAGGCCCCACAGAGATCTGCAGATAATTAAAAAAATAATGTAACAATGAGCCATCGGTGCCTCATCAAGCACTATGAGCTGTGCCCGGCTCTGAGGATTTCTGCACGCTGAAAACCGTTGATCAATAAGCGCAATGTTTTACTAAATTTTAAATTTCCTATTCAATATGTTTTTCCACGTTACCATCTTCTCCTTCTTCATCTTTGCATTCAATTAATCTCCTCTTACTGCCACTACCTATTGTAACATTGTTTCCATCAATTTCGCGTAAGTGTGTTATTTTTTGCATTAAAACCTAAAACTTACAACCTATTGATGGCCCGTCAAAGTACGTAATAGTAATCTACTTATTTACATATCTACCGTCAGTGTGATTCAAGTTTTGAAAAATCTAATCATATATTTTATTTAGTTAAACACATGTGATATCAGATTGACGTAATTTCGCTTAAGATTTATCTTCGTCACGGTCAGACTGCTGGATCCGACAGGCTGCAGGTGTTCAATGTGATGGAATAATTTCGTAAATTTAAATGTATAGGATTGTTTCATGTTACATATGTATAAATTTTATTAACTCGCAATTTCAGAAAAATGCATCGTTTAACCATAACTATTGCTTTACTATTGCTATAATCTTTTGTCCGTATTATCTTGCAAATACATACCAATAAATTAAATGATTCAAATGATTTTATTGGCCATTCAGTTACATACAAACAATAGTCTACGTCAAACAATAACAATAAATAATAAATAAACATGCCAAACTTCTAGTTGCACTCTTGACTAATATAACAAGATTAAAAGCTGAAATGAACACATGCAGGATCTCACTCAATACAAAACATGCAAAGCAATGCATGCATACTAAAAATAAAAAAAATAAAAACTACATGCTGCAAAGCAGAGAAAAAAATTACACTGAGGCCAAATAAGCAACAAGTTCTGTCTCGCAAATCGCTCTTAAAATATCACTATTTTAATATACAGTATCTTCATATTTTATAGATAAAAAATAAAAACATTTGATACTCTATCTTTTGCATTCACTATTAAAACAAACTCTGACCAAATGTTTGAATTGAGTTGTAGTACCATTAACGGCATAGTTGGTAGCATGGTACCATAATGTATTTGGATTAGAAGTATTGATATATTTTGTTTATTACGTATTTAAATTATCGATTATTGTCATTGATTTGTATGGTTTTCATTATATACTAATATGTGTGATAATTTTATTTTGGTTTAAAACTATTTTTCTAATAAAACTAATATTTTTTGCCACGTTTTAGCTACCTCATTAGATGCACGTAGCGTAGTTTTGAATTGTTGAAGTAGTAAACTCCAAAACTGTATTTATTCATGCGTATATAGTTTTAATGTACAGGGTGTTCATTTGAAAACTTTCCATATCTGTTGTGTGCAAAGGTAAGGCTTTAAACACTTGTTTGTTCTCATTTCCCCCTAATTTGGACATCCCAAATCCAATAAAATTATTTTCAATTTCAAAAAATGCCCCAAAAGGGCCCAATTTGGGGGGTAAGGGTGCTTTTTGAGAAATTTTCAAATGTAAACATGGGTTGTGTGATACATCAATTTAAAGGTCTAATCACCCCGACCATTTTGGTGCAATAAAAATGTAATTGTCTTTAACCGTATTTACAGGGTGGGTCAAAACGTTTTAAAAAAGGACTTTGAAGTTAAGTACCGTATTACCCGAACTACTGAACGGAACAGTGCCAAATTTCTTTCCAAGCTTATTCTTGATCTACTCTTTAAGATAACTTGTAATAAGGGCATTTTCCGTGTTATTTTCTAATTAAAAAAAATCTCAAATTTGAAGAATAAAAGAAAGCTGAAAACTCAAAATTCTTAAATAGCAAGGTATAAAAAATTTCATACCACGTGAAAGGTCCTTTTTTAACAAACATTTTACGTGTTTAAGTTTTCTTTCTATCTCTTACCGTTTAAAAATTGCAGTAGAAAAACTGAATTTTCTATGGTAAAATTATAACTAGTT